CACCCCACCCCCAGTGTGATACTAGTGGAGAGCAGTGGAGGACAGATACCTTGTCTGCAAGCACAGGTTGGGAGCTCCCACACTGGCAGAGCAAAGGGCTGCTGCCATCCTGGCTGGCATCTCCTGGACTCATCCCTGCCCACAAAGCAGATTCTCTACAAATAATAGCACTTTACATGGAGTAACTTTAATCTTCTCCTTGACCTAACATTTGTTCCATTTAACCACAGTGTTCCCCATGGATTTAAAGAAAAAAAAAAAGAGGGAGTGGGGGAAGAAGAAAGAAAACACTCCCCAAGCCTCATCTTCTTCTGTTATTTTTGCCAAATCAATACCTCCTGTTTTCTTGTGTTATACAATGTGAATGCAGTTGCCATGCTGTAATAAATGTCTCTCGACCAGAATACAAAATTCTTTCTTAATTTTTTTAACCTACAGGGGCTAAAACCTGCTGACTACCTGGCAGCAGGTAGTTGGACAACTAGAGTTGTCTCTCCCACAGACAGTTATCTTCCTAATTTACTTGCTTTCTTTCCTATACTTCTCCAAAGAATCTAATACAATGCTAAAAGAGTTCTAATGAGATCGTATTGCTTTTTACACTGTTGATCATCTGTTAAAAGACAAGTTTCCCATGATCTTTAGGAAAAGAAAAAAAAAGAGAAGTCGTGAATTAATGGGCCATCCATCATACCAAAATGACTGTATCCAGGTTTCCCCTACAGCTGAGCAAATAATTTATTCAATCCATTTCAGTATTTTAACTGAATTCTTTTGACAAATCGATTATGCACAGACCAAGATTTTCTTAGTCGGTCATAATTTGTTACTTTTATTTTTAACATTAGAATTAGGTGAGTGAATCTTAGTCTGAATCCTGATGAATTTTAAGATGTTTTTAAATAAAGCACTTCTGTTCCTCCTGGAGAACTCTACAACTCAGGCTTTTGACAAAAGCATCTTCTATCATGAAGTAAAAATCACTGTCTGCTGGTAATTCTGCACACAGGTGATTTTGCAGTTGCTGTAGCAGTCTGGTGAGCCCTGTGGCAGCAAATGTGTTTGTTATGGTGCTCAGAAAGCCTGCTTCATGCAGAGCACATGGAGAGCTAAGAAGGGGATAGGGAGGAAGGGGAGAAAGGGTATTCAACAGGCCCAATATCAATTAGGGCTGATCGTTGATTACATTTCATTTTGTTACTTAAATCTTCTGTGAAAATGAAAGTGCTAAGTGATACAAACACAATAACCCCACGGTGTTTAAATATAGTTTGCCTTCACAAATCACAGTCTTGCTGTTGGAGCTAATTGCTAGCTCTTTACCACTTGAGACAAACACCTTCTCTGAGATCTCAGGCTGTTTTCTTTATGCCACTTGCCAGAATCTTTTTCTTTTAAACTCTGATTTTTTCAGTTTCTGAGAATTGCATTTCGAAAGTACAGGCTGTCCTTACTGAAAAGGTAGTTTCAAATATCAACAGGTTTTTATACCCAGACTACCAAAGAACAAACTTGGACTATAGGTATCCATTTGGAGTTTATGTCTGGCAACAGGACAGAGTTGGGCTGGTTTTTTATCTCTTACTGCTAGACTTCTCTAAAAGGAAGCATTGATAAATTCTGTACTGAAAATAATGTTCAGTTGATTACAGATCCTGATGCAGACTACAGCATATAAAATTCAGTACGTGTTTAAGGTCTGATGCCCCAGTTGTTAGTTTCATATTCCCAAGCGATATTTCTAAATAACAGGCTTATGCTATATGTATTCATCTTCTTGCATCAATCATAGATACAAGTTCCCATGGGGGGGAGGGCGAGGGGGAAGTCTATTTCTCTAGATTTTCACAGTTTCAGCTACAAAGATAAGCTATTACTGAAGAAACATGGGACAGCTTAGATCATGTTACTGCCTCTTATTCCCTTCCTGATAGCCTCTCCTGGGTTATCTTTCGCATCTTCAGACCAAACCTATCAGTGTGGATCTGTACAGCACATACCCCAAAGGGATCTCAGTCTTTGATTGTTCCTATCATTCTAGCACTGCAAGTAATTTTCTAAAAACCCTGTTTCTCATTCATCAAGATTTTCATCTGTTCTTCCAGACTGCAAAATAAAACATGGGCTTATGCTTTACTTACCCCAAGATAATGGCCATCGATAAACACAACAGGGAGTGAGGGAACTTCACAGACCCTCCTACATCTTTCATCTAGTTCTTTTCCATAATCACTGTTCAGAGCAATGTTTTTTTCTTCAAATTTAACTCTGTGATTTTGAAAGATCTTTCTAACCAGTTCACATCTTTCAAAAGTGGTTCTCACCACACGAAGGCTGGTAGTATAAATCACTATGCGGCCAAACTCCAGCTCTGTTGATACCTGCAAAAAAAATGGTTCCCATTACATTAAGATGTTAATGACTTCCAAGTATTAAATAATTCCTTTTAGAATATTATTTAAGCAAAAAAGAGGAAAAAAAAGCATCTTGAAAACAAAATCCAACATACTACTTTTTTCAAATGTAAAGTTGGAAGGGGAGGAATTAAGTTCTTGCAATGCCCAACCTAAGGCAATTTAAGCTGTTTCTCTAAGCAAGATGCAACTTTACTTCTTTTGGAAAGTTTTGGAGATGGTGAATCAAGTTAAATATTTTCAAAAAGCAGATACATTTTAGATCCTGGTGGATTCCAAATGCAAATAAATCATCACTGTTTTGTTGATGTCTGATTCTGTTATAACAGTGACTCATGCTTTCACAGAGTCTAGTACTACCCAGACTGTCTAAACGTGCTAGCTCAGGAGCTGTTGACAGCCTCCTTTAAGCAAGGATGGCAGCCTAAGTCTAAGCCTCATCACATCCATAAGCCAGCGTTAACTTAGAACACTTTAAGTCTCTCCATGCTAAACTAGATTATGACTGCAGATTTTAACATCTACATCAAATTACTCTAACATCCAACAAACAACAAAAAAGCACATTCTGTGTGTATTCAGCATCTGATTCAAAGCTCACTGCAGCTAGAGGAGGCAGTTCCCTTGTCTGTGAAAAGTTTCATACTACAATTCAGACTTCATTTTTTACCAACTTTTTGTATGTAAAAGTTTATGCCCCATCTTTCCTTTCTGGGATGAAAACAATTAGGGAGTGTAAACACTACAGGGATTAGTTTACCCGAGAGAGTAGTACATTTTCAAAGACCCTAAGAATCATTGCCTTAAACAAAGATACTATGTTCAGATAAATAGCTAAAATCCTAGCTTTTTAAAAACACATTTCCAACCTTTTCAAATTATCCATTGTACTCATCAGCTGATACTTAATTATTTCAGTAGTATTTCAGGAGTGAAAGCACAAGTTAGACAATAAAAACCAAAGATACCTGTACCACGCTGTAGCAACCTGTGGAAAATGAACCTTGATGGATGAATAGATAATTTTTGAACTATGTCATGCAATAACTGTAAAGACACAGTTGTAAAATTGGGCAGATCTCATTGCAGAATTTGCCTCATAACAAAGTCATGATTTATCTTACTGAAAAAAAAAAGTCATTGCAAAAAACATATTCTGCTTAGAAAGGTGTTTACAACGTTTGACATACAGTGAAGAGTTCCCAGGAAAAACAGTTGCATTTCACAGATCATTTATAGACTGGAAGTGTAATTGCAAACATATGTAATGTAACAGTTTTCCAACTTTATTCTGGGAAGGAAGCATGTTGTGAGAGGTCAGTATTTATTTCTCTTTGAATTGATGCAAAAATTGAATTTAACAAATGGTATGAAAAAAAGGGGCTACTTTCCTCCAACCTGTTTTATAGGTTGAAAATCTGTTATACTGCTACTGCAACACTGACTTTTCTCCAGCATATTGTTCACACATTCCAAGTGAGAGGATTAGCTCATCCTCTACTTAAGACAAGGACTCTACATAAACATTGCCAAATATTTTGGTAACCACACATAGGTTGCTGGAAGGAAGAGGACTTCGTGCTTTTCAGAAGTAACCAAAAGGAGTTCTTAAAATAATCCTTAAAAAGCTAATTTAACATACTTATTGTTTTCTCCTCTTTGGAGTGAAAATACATTTTGAAGTACAAAACTATTCAACTGGATGGAAATTCTGTTTGTTCCCAGACACCAGAGGCTGGCAGCATAGATACAGACAGTCATTATCTAGTGAAGCATCAGGACTGTGGTGTCTCTACAGCATACAAATAAGCAGCTGAAGAGATGGAAAAATGGAAAGTTGTAAAGTGATCTGGAAAGATATCAAGTGGAAGGTGTGTACACAGAGCCACTTTTATGTTTATTCCTTTGCTTTTTCCTCATGTGACAGTGGAGAAATATCCTTGTTTGCCCTGAAAAGAAACATCGAGCACACTGACTAAATAATTCTTTATGGAAATTCTAGTAAACACCAGTTTCTGTCCTACAAATGCACAGAACTTGTCCTTGGCAGGACTTTATTATACCAGGAAAATCCTTCCTGTCACCTGCCTGGAACCACACTGGTAACTAAAAGTAGGAGTCAAGGCAGAGAGATTGACAACATTTTTATTAATGAGAATCTATACTAATTTTTATTTTGCTACCCAACTCAATGTCTACAGCCTGTAATATTTAGTTACTAGAATATGCCTTTGAAGTAAATCAGCAGAATAATGTTTGAACTCTGTGCTCTTCCCAGGTTGTGTAGGTCCTGTGGCAAAAACATAATAAATGACAAGCTATGTAAAGAAATGAATAGAAAGACATTGTAGGAAATTAACTTAGACAATTTTGCATAACAAACTTCAAATTGGAATAATCTCTTATAATTCACAGATGTACATAAAATTTTAGCTAAAGTTAAACAGAAGGTAATTTTATGGTTAATGGACATGAAAAAGCTTTACTTAGGCTGTGGAACAAAAGATTGGAGCAACTGACCACTTTCTCACACTTCTTCTAAGTGGGATTCTCATTGAAACCTGAAGCTTATAGATATCATTTGGCCTGACGTGGCAACTTTTGTGTCAGATTCAGAAAACCCCAAGCACATGGGCCTAGAACATGCTTCAGAGAAAGCACTCATGTAGAAAGACTGCCAAGGAAGGGATTAAGGTTTCAGAGGGAAGTTGCTTTAGTAACAATCCTCTACAACATTCACAGCAGTGGTACCATCTCCCCAACGGTCCAAAGGCAATATCTGTTTTACTACATCAACCTGAAGAGCTTGTATTTTGCCTGGGAGCATCAAGCAGGCAGCAATTGCAGTAGCACGACTAGCATCACTTCATGGCACAGACGCCACTCCCAGTACTTAGGAACAGCTGCCCTTTTTTATCAGTCCAGAGAGCAAAAGAAATTGTTGGACCAGTTCAAGTCGGTTCAAGCCTGAACATGAGAGTACATGAGAAAAGATCTTTCTTATTTTGTGCCTGACTCAGTCTTTTCCCAGACTTCTCTACCAGGTGGATCAGGGCTTCTGCAAATGAGGAGTTAGTTACACTTTTGTGCACAACTGGGGGAAATCTACCCCTCTGCCATCCCACTGGCATCCATTTGACATGGTTGCAATTAATTGTAATCACTAACTGAGCAAGTCTTCTGCAAACAGCATGAAGGATGTCATCCCATGAGGCTGAATACATGAGGTTAGTATCAAGAGAGACCACAGAACAGAGGAAGAAATTACTGGTGAAACAGAGAAAGCTTAATAGAGTGAGCAGGTAAGCAAGCAAATAGAAGGATGCAGAGGTCTTGAAAAGAGAGAAAAAGCCAGAAATAACAAAAACTATAATATAACCAAAACATATGTCAGGATACTGCCAAAGGAAAAGTAGTACAAAATAGATGCATAAACAAAAACATTAAAAATATAACAAAAAAGAGACAGTAAACCAATACAAGGTAAATGATAAAGCAGAGAGAATGTCACTGAAATCCGACATCCTTTTTTAAAAGAAATCCTGGTAGTCAGTGTAAGTGTCCAACAACAAATATATTACACAATACATGAATCTCCAAGTGGTTTCAATATTTTGGAGTGTTTTTTTAAAAAGCTTTGTGTATTACTGGAGCTGCAGAAATATGAAATATTTGGGAATTGTACTCCTAAAATATGTTTGAGAATTTACCTTTTCTGTATTAGCTGCCATAAAAGTAATAACAGTCTTCCCAGCAGCTCTGAAAATATAGTGTATCAGTCAGGTGTTTCCATGGTGCTTCTGAAAGCCAGTTGAATATGTATGCCGTTAGACTCTCATGGACA